GCGCGGCTCGTCCAATAGCCACCGAACCACCCACGGGGCTGAACCCAAACTGGGTTCGATCCTCTGGAGGTATGGTACTAGGCGCGGCCTTTCGAAGAGGTGCTGCCGTGGGACTCCTGCTCGCTGCGCGTGCACGAAACGGACCTGCCCCGGCTGCACACCATCCTCGCAAGCATCTCGCGGGCGCAGCGGGCGAGTATGCGCCGCGCGATGTGCGGCGTTTGGCCCGCGATGCTGTGGACCCGACTCGGTTTCGCAAGCTCCCGCCCCCGTGGCGAGGGCTACCTCGGCGAGAGTGGGCGCGCGGACGCGCTCGCCACGTTTATGGCGGTGCTGCGCCGCAGGGTAGAGGCGGACGCGTCGACATGAAGAAAAAGATTGGGCGCACAAGCGACTCTTATTGTCGGTCTCTTCTCTCTTGCTAGAGCCGTAGAGCTAGAGGGGGAGCACTTACCACTTTCGCATCGCACCTACGACCTCTCCTCAGAGGCGACAACGATGGAGACGAGGGAAGGGAGCGACGAACGCGCACAGAGGATGAGCATATAATCTGGGACGACGCAGCGGAGGGGATACAGGCGAGGGAATCGAGGGAATATGTGCAGCTGCTAGCAATCCTCGGATCTTGGGTACGATTGTGAGCGCCGCCGCTCATAGTCCTACAAGATGTAGGATTGCGAGCGCTACTGCTCGCAATCGGAGGCATGTTGCTAGGATTGCGAGCAGTGCTGCTCGCAATCCTAGACTTTGCTCGGATTGCGAGCGCGCTGGTAGTAGTCGTAGGCGTCACCAGTCACCTTGGGAGCGGAGCTGCTCTTAGTCCTAGAAGATGTATGTAGGATTGCGAGCGTGGGTGCTAGCAATCGCACAGAGATGCTACGATTGCGAGGAGTGCTGCTCACAATCCTTCGACTTCTAGGATTGAGAGCGAGGCTGCTCTCAATCCTTCCGGTCTAGAAAAGAAGGTTCACCTGCCGTGACGACGGCCGTTTGCTGGCCGAGGCCGAAGGACTCGCCGCGGCTCTGCTCCAGTGCGTGTGCCTCTACTCGCCAGCTTTCGGCCTGTCGCTGGCCGACCGCTTCGGACTGGACATGGCGTCCCGCGTTGCTCTTCCGCCGCCGGCAGCCCCGCCCAAGCCCGCTCCGGCCGAAGAGGACGAGGAGCTCGGCGAGCTCGCGTACTGCCAGCCGTGCGAAGAGACGGCGGAGCCGCTGCAGCGGCACGGCTCGCAGCGCTTCTCGAGCGTCGACGACCACGAGCTGGCGTGGGAACGCTACCGCGAGGCTCCGGCCTCGCTCTTTGGCTGCGCCGGCATCAACGCGGCTGGCGTGCAGCGCATCGACCTCCCGTTCAGGCCGCACGAGGTGGACCTCGTCGCCGAGTGGCTCGACCGCACGGACGCCGACGGTGCGACCGGGCTCGACGCGCTGAGGCCGCTGCACCGCCTGAGCCGCTCGGACAAGCTGGCTGCCTGGCGCTCCGAGTTCAGCTCGCTCGACCTCGGCACGTACGAGGAGGCAGCGGCCGAGGACCATTGCGGGCTCTTCAGCCACCTCTGCTGGAGCCTCCTGCTGATCGAGCCTCACCGCTCCTTCCCGGTCCACCAGCACCCCGACATCGAGGTCGAATTCGTGCTGCGGGGCGCGCTCTACGAGAACCGCCTCCTCTCGCAGCCGGACGCCGTCCTCGACGCGAGCGAGGTGCCCGACAGCGGCTTCCCGCGCCTCTTCAGCGTGCACACGCACGGCGGCGGCTCCTTCTTCTCCAACCCGCGCTTCAGCGTGCACCAGAGCTACACGATGGACGAGGGGGTCGTCATCCTCGTGCTCTGGGCCGGCCGCCACGTCAACCTCACTGACCCGGCCGGCAAGCTCTGGGCGCCAAAGCGCTGCCGCAACCCCTTCTGCCCGATGGGATCGACAACGTTCGCGTCTCTGGCGGCGGTGCTGAGAGAGCAGTGACCTGACGAGAGCCACGCCGTTAGTGTACCCTTGGGCTCGCGCTCTCATGACTCTTGTGCCAGTCTCGCTTTTCGTGTAGGTATTGTTCCGGCGTGTGTTTCGACTGTGTCGTGGTGGTGTGTCTTGTGCGAGTGTGACGTGTCGGCTGTGTGTGAGCGAGAGAGCGCTCTCTCGGTCTCGCCCGGTCGCGTGCAGCCCCTAGTCCCTAGAGTACGTATAGCACGTGTGTACGAGAAGGTGACCTTGCAAGGTGGCGGGGGACCACACGGTTCTCTCTCGAGTCTCTGTCTCTGTGTGTGATCTCTCTGCGCCAGGCAGATGGTTTTTTGTACTTTGTTTGACTTTGAGCGGGTGCATCTACATGTCCAACACACCGTCTCTTACTCCTCACTCCTCCCAGGTGCTCGTGGAGAACGACGACAGCACCAAGCCCTTTGACGACGTGGCGCAAAGCTTCAAGTTCCGCCTCACCGGGCTCGACTCTGAGTGCATCGGTGGCATCTACCCGGTCAAAAACGCGACAGGAGGCACCATTGACGAGCCCGTGGACGGCCTTACCAACGCATGTGGCGTCCACGTCCACAGCGGCATCGGAGGATGCGCCCCCCTGGGGCCCCCCGGGGCGAACGGAGGCGGCCACTACTTTGCGGAGGGCTTTGCGGACCCATGGGGCAACGGCGCAGGTGTCAACCCTATCTTCACTTGATATGAGACATGATTGCACCACGCATCTCCCCTCTTCCCCTTCCATCCTGCCTCCAACCCCCGATTCGTGCAGGCACCGACTTCAAGAACGACTACGACGTCCTGGCCCCGGGTGCGACCGCCGCCTACGGCGAGTTTACCGCCACGACCGGCCTGACGCTTCCGGAGCGGCGCGCGCGTCCCCAGCCCAGCGCGACCCCGTTCCACACCTCTGCGCTCTGGTCCTCCTCACCACACGCCCATAACGCACAGGGGGAAGAAGGCGGCCCTGTGATCGTTGTCCACGGGGCCGATGGTGGGCGCATCGCTTGCGCCAAGCTCGAGTGCGAGAAGAAGGGTTACGACTGGTGGTGAGCAGGGACGCGCCACAAGAGCCCGAGGAAGTGGGCCTGGTGCTCTGTGCTGCTTTCGGGGCCTCACCCTGCTGTATGTGTACGTACATACGTGTTTATTACTCGCCATTGTTTGCTTGACGACCGTCTGGGGGGAGGGACCCCCATCTTTGTTTACCGAATGCGTCTCTGGAGGTTAAAGTGCGTCTAGTAGGTGCCCTACTTAGACCACACACACACGCTCGCTGTCCTCGGTATGCTCGAGCATCCTAAGATACGCGAGTCCATATTAGTTGCTCCGCGCATCCCGAATTGCTCGCGGCATCTCCGATTGGCGTTGCTGTCTCAAAAGACGCGCTGTGCATTCATACCTTGAAAAAGACACCCAAGCACTATCGAGTCTCGTACGCAGCTCGTACGCGGGAATGTAGAAAAACTACACGGCTTTCTCGAGAATCACAGCCCGTCTATCTCTATATATGCACAGAGGCAAATCCATGCAGTCTGCATGCTGCATGCTACAAGAGTGCGTGTGTGTGGAGAAGTTTACCTTACCTTACCTTACCTTACGTCGTACATGCACGCATGCGCTGTTGCGGTGTGCGATGAGTTACGGCTTACCCTCACGGCCCCGCGCGGTTCCCGATCGCCGATCAAACACGGTGCCCTAAACCGTTCCCGAAGAGAGAAGCGGCCACCACTCGACCCCGCGCAGATGGGCAAGATCGTCGTCGGCGGCAAGCTCGGACGCGGTGGCGTCGCCGGCGGTGACCAGCGCCTCGAGCGAGGCCCGGCACTCCCCGATGCGGCCGCCGGCCGGAGTGCTCGCGAGGGCCAGCGCGCAGCAGGCGTTGTAGCGCGCCTCGCCGAGCTCGTTGCTGGCGAGCCCCTGCCGGATCCACTCGCTCTCGGGCTGCCGCAGGAGCGCGTCGAACAAGCCGATCGCCTTGCCCAAGCTCGCCGCTGCGTCAGCCTCCCCCCGCTGCCGCTGCAGCCGCGCCGCCGAGAGCCACGCGTCGGCGGCGCCGATGCCGCACCGCAAGTCGCGCGCGCTCACGCGGAGCCCTCGCTCGTACCTGAGGAAAGTGCGACGGCTCGGGGACGGCTCGGGTACGGCTCGCTTTCGCCCAGAGCCCGCGCGCGCACCCGTCAGTAGCGGCTTTGGCGTAGAGTGCGGCCGCGCTCTCTCCTCCGCCGCCGCCGCCTCCGCTCTCGAGGTCTCGCTCTAGCTCGGCGGCTGCGG